CCTCACTGGTACCATCCCATTAATACCTGCCTGGGCCAGACTGTTAAGTAAAATCCCCAGCTGTGTGAAGAGCCATGGCTAAGGCACCACCCAAATTCCTCTTGAGATGGGCAGATATGTCGAAAAGTGAGTTGGGTGGTTCAGCAGGAGGTGTAAACCAGTCCACAGCTGCTCAGGATAGATCCTGTTCACAGCTGCCACCCAACCCTCCTTCTGTAGGGCTGCAATCAGGGAGAACTAATAACAGACACATCACAGTTTACCAGCCCTAAACCTAACAGGGACCTGGTGAATCGTGCTTTGAGATCCTCTGTTGAAATGTGCTGCAGAAGGACAAAGGGCTGTACCCACTCGGCCAGTACTGCTTGTTTCTTTACCTTAAACTTGTTGCTATTGCAGGATTAATTAACACAACAATTAGTGCTCTTGAGGCATGTCCCTGGCTTCCCCATGTTACACTCTTCAGGAGAAAACAGAATTTATGGGATCTTTGAGCATGGCTTCTGAAAGATGCAAGTTGGCTGAGCTGCCCTTGAGCTCAGAGGGAGCTGGAAGGTTCCTCAGTGCAGCACTGCTCCCTTTCCTCCCAGCAGCCCCCCCTCAGGCAGTGCAGAACCCAAGTGTTGATCATGGCATTGTCCCCCACTCTGGCTAATGGACAGTGTGACACCTGGACAGCTGGGTAGAGGAAAAGTGAAACAGCTCCTTATCGAAGTGTAAGCTAAAATCTTACAGGTTGAGGATGGAATAAGCAGCTTGTAAGGCTATTTCCATGGTTATGTGGAGGAGATCTGTGTGCACTCTGTGTATGTTTGTGTGAGCTCTGGGAGGGTGCCGTGTCGTGTCCTGCTGTATGATCCGTCTGCACGTGTCCGTGCATTGCCTGTGAGTTAACAGCATGCTCCTCAATCTTCAAGTGCTACTGAAATCATGTTGTAACCTCAAGTAGAAGAGACACTTTGGAAAACAAAAACAAAACAAAACCTAGAAGGGAAAAAAAGAGACAGTTTTAAGTCTTTTTAATTGTCTTCTTCTGAGCTGAGAAATCCGAAAGACTCCAAGAGACGCTGCCTAGTGCTAAAAAAAGACATGATTTCAACTGACAGAGCAGCGTCTCTCTTACCAGTTTTGTCTAGCCAAATTATAAATCTGGGAGTTTTCTTGTTCTCATTCTGAGCAGCTCCCCACAACCCTGCTGTGCAGCTGCAGCCACAGTGCAGAATTATGCATGAGCCAGCAGAAGGAGCTCCAGGTCTGGTCATGGGGGCAGAGCTGCGTTCTGACACAGCTGTGCCTAGAAATCATTACTTATCTATCGATTCTTTCCCTTTGTGCTTTGAATTCTGTCTGCCACACAGCCCAAAATTGTCTTGGAAAAGAGCTTTGCTCATTTCTTTCTGTTCAATTGCAGTGGAGTTATGGCTTCGAATATTAAAAAGATATCCCTCAAGAGACAGTTTTGCACAACAGCCCCAAGTTCTGATGAGGGAACAAACCATTTTAGAGCAGAAGAGAAAAATACCTACCTGCCTTTTTCCCAGAATTGCTAGTGCTCTTTCTCAGTATTTGAAGATGTGCAGATTAGATGGATCTTTCTGCCTCCCAGCCCCCAATTTCTGTGTTCCACATTGTCAAGAACATGGGTTTGTTCAAAAAAATATTTAAAAGCCATTCTTGGGGCACCTCAAGCTATTGCAAAGTGCTGTCTCACAGTTGCACAAGGAAGTGCATTCTGGAATTATCAGCCTGATTTGCCAGAGCACAGTGGTTTTATCTGCACCCCCCCCCCCCCCAGTGATGATGCATGTCATTGAGATCCACAGCTTTGATTGTTTAGGCCACTTGATAAATATGATAAATATGCAAACCTTCAGCTGCTTATGCAAGTAGAACCAACCAGGAGCTTTTGGCATTCACCCAGCCCAGATGTTAATGCCAGTAGCCCAGATCCTCACACAGGGCCACACATACAACTGTGAGGAGAGGAGTCTGAGCTGCTTTACTGAGGGAAGTGGCAGTGTGTGCATGGGTCTGTTTCAAGCAAGGATAGACGTTTTTCAGGAGTTTTGACCAAAAAGGCTGTTTTGGGAAAGAACTGAATGGGGTTTGCTAGTGATCTGGCCAGGGGAGTCTGCCTTTTTTCTCTTAGAGAAGACGGACTATGGATTCCATTCTTTGCAGTGTAACTCCATCAATGTCAGAGGATGTCAGCCAGACTGTCCTTTCTCTTCTTCTTCAGCCTTCCAAGTGCATAACATTCTGCTGATCCAGGACATTTTTTAGCATTTCTGTATGATCATTAAAATACATTAGTTCATCCTCCACAAATTGGTTTAGGGACAGTAAAGAGCTCAGCCCAGCTCGGCTGCAGCACAGGGCTGACTGCTACTCTGCAGCCACAGGATGCCAAAGCCATTGGGCCATGTCATTAATGTGGGGTTAATGTCTTCCAAAGCTAAAAACAAGTGCTGAATCCCCCTTAGTAGCTCTGTTCTGTTGTAGAACGTTAATTTTGGTGGCACAAGGACTATTTGCCTTTGAAGTAATTCCTGGTCCCCTGGGTCGACCAAACCAGAAGATTTATTTTCCAGCTCTAGCCATGTAAGGGACCTGTAGCAAATCCTAACCTTCCCACAGACCCTAAAATCCCTCACCAGTCTCTGCTGGGAAAATTGGCCAAGGCACCAAGGGCTGGTGGCCTCCAGGAGGATGTCGACACTCCAGGAGGATGTCGACACTGTGTGGGTTCAGGGTTAGAGTTTGTCCTCCAGAGCAGACTCTGCAGTTGGTCTCACTGTCCCCACATTGACCTGCCTGGAGCAAGGCAGCTCCAAGCAGGACAGTGGCAGAAGAAGAGATGGAATGGTAGAAATGAGCTCAAGCTCGTGCTCTGCCCCTGTGGGACATCATCTGCTTCAGTCACATGGTGTGAGAAATTCAAACTGCTGTTTGGGACCTGCCAACCAGCATGGTACAGAAGTTGTGTCAGGTATCCCAGAACTGCCCCTGCCCAGCTGTGACCCCAGGACAGCAAGGGCTCTGGGGCTGCCCTCTGCTCTGCAGGCTTTCTGTGGGAAACAGGAGCTTGGGAAGACAGAGTAGAAAACTCCCCGATGAGTAACTATTCCATCATGTAGATACAAATGCAGAACATCTCCAGGTTGATCTTTTCAAATAAGTTTGAAATACTAACTGTGATGAATTTGTTAAAGGTTCATAAGGATGAATCATGGAGCAGTTTTTGTTCACTGCAAGAATAGATCTTGGTTACTCCCTGCAGTGGACAGAGATAGTAAAGAAGGAGAAATGAGTTAAACATAGTCAAGATGACATCTTTCGGTCTGAGCCTTTTGAGGATTTTAACCCTTGATTCCTAAATTCTATAGCAAGGGGAAGCGAATTGATCCTCTTTCCTAAAGACACACTAAAGCCTTAGCTTGTATCCAAAAGGACAGTGCAGCACCATGTCAAAAGTTGTGTGGTGAGCTCCGTGAGTGCCCCTTGTGAGGCTTCTCCCCTGTGTGTAAGTGCCACCCGTGTGCAGCCGTCCTGTGCCCGGCCAGCCCGGCCCCGGTGTGTCTGTGTGTGGGTAGGACTGCGAACGCATTTCTTGTGCACACCTTGCTGTGGTACCTGGGTGCTAATCACCGTATTTTGCCTTCTCTAGCACCTTCCCAGCCGAGGATCTCAAAGTGTTTTACAAACATTAATTAATTTAGCTTCACATCCCTCCTGTGAGGTAGGTGGGTGCTGCCATCCCGCTTTTCCAGATGAGGACCCTGAGCTGCTTGGGCAGAGTCACCTTGGCTCCTGCGGTTAAAACCGGGGCAGGCGGCGGCCTCGGGATGGCCCTCGTGATGCCTACACCCCGCAGAAGGAAGAGCAGTTCTGCATGCAGCAGAGGGGATCCAGAGATGGCCAGAGCTTACAGCAGCCTGCTCCAGAGCCCTGCTCCTCTCTCCTTCCTGCCCTTCTCTGGAGTTGTGGTTTCCAGCCGGTCACAGTCACGCTGCCCTGAGGCTGAAGGAGGGGTTATCCCTCATCAGCGGTGTTGAGGGGAAGGACATGCAGACTGTGTCACTGTGCCCTGTAGTCTGTGCTTTGGTGGTGATACACATCCCTTCTGTTTCACTTCCAGTCACCCAGAGCCGTACTTTCCACACCATCCTTTACAACAGGCCCCAGCTTGCTGAAGCCCCCCCTTTCCATGGGAAAGCTGTAAGGGCAGCATCCCCTCACCCTATTCCTGCACAGGAGCTGTGGCTCACCTGTGTGGGAATCAGACATCCAGATCCCAAAGTATAGGCTTCCCAGTGTATCCATTGCTACCAGTTTGGCTTGAGCAGAGTCAGCTTTTTCTGCATTGTGTGCAGCTGTTTTGGGCTGAAACCAGACTGGTGAATTCAAAAAGAACCCTATGGAAAAGTCCTAAAACCTTCCTAGAGAAGATAACGAGCTCCCTTTGGTAGGCAGATGAGCACAGCCTTCCTGCAGAGCAGCTCTGCTCCGCCCCGGCATGGGAGCTGTGCGGGCAGTCCCCGGGGGGGTCGCGCTGCTCGGGGCTGGTCAGCAGGGCGTGTGGGCACAGCTGTGTTCCAGGTCAAGCTGGGAGGGAGGGGAAAAACGAGCTTGGAAGCAGCAGGTGTTGAAGTGGAGTGGGTTGAACGCTGTGGTCATTGGGCTCCATCTGAGCAGGACAGTGCACGTGGCCGTGCTCCTTCGGTCACAAAGGACTTTTCCATGAGGGCGGGCAGAACTCTGCCGATACAAAAGTAATGGATCTTTCCCAAATCTTCAGGCCTTGGTGCAGCACAGGCAGCCTCGGAGCTGAGAGGTCAGGCAGCGCTGGTTGCTCCGTAGATTTGTGTCTCTCGCACGTCTCCCCGGTGTTTGGGACCCTGGTTATGAGTGATAAGAGGCGATAGCGTGACAAAGAAAGACGACTGACCCAATTGCTCTTTGACTGATCTGTTTCTTTTTCCCCCCAATCATCGATGCAGGTGTGAGCTACTCCAAGTCGGTTCCTCCAGCCTACCCACCACCCCAGGATCCATTAAATCAGGGACAATACATGGTGACAGATGGCATATCCCAGTCCCAGGTCTTCGAGTTCACCGAACCCAGACGCAGCCAGGCACCATTCTGGCAAAACTTCAGCAGGTTAACACCATTCAAAAAATAATACCTAGAGAGATGGAGAATTTTAACTTAAAAGAACTAAAATTTAAAAATAAAAATAAATAAAATTATATTTATAGATGGACCTTTTTTCGGAGAAGCACTGTTGCAACTAAATATATATACATATATATATGTATACACACATTTAAAAAATAATAATATATACATATATGTATATATATAGAAGGACCAAAAACTTTTTTTGTTGTTTTTGGGAAGTAATCTGCTACTAGATACTAGGAAGCACCAATGATTTCTAACCATGTGACCTGTTTTATTTTATTCCATTGGTCGGACATCTGTTTGTTTGGTTTTTTTCCTGTTTTTCTTCATTTTCATCCTGGTCGTCCTTGGCATCCCAGAATGCTTTCTCGCTTGTGTGACTCCGTCATGGAAGTTCCTCATGGACTACATTGGTGTATATTTTCTTTGATTTTATTTATGGGGGGGTTGTTTGTTTTTTGGAGTGCTGGGAGGTCTCTGCTCCCTCTCCCGCCCTCTCCGTCCCTCCCTTGACTGTCCCCAGAGTCCCCATCCCACTGAAGACATGGCCCCATTCCCTGTCCTGCATTCCCTGGTCTGACTTGTGCCTGTTTGGATGTGCTCCCTGTGCTCCCGCTCCGCTGCGCAGTATTTCTCTGGCTTTAACTGTTTTGTTGTGGGCAGGTGAAACCCAGCAGAAGGGGAAGCAGCTATTTAGGAAGTGAGAGATGGGTTTTCCTCAGTTAATTTTTTTGCATATTTTTAAGCACTGTCTTTTTCTCAATTCAGTGTGATTTGTTCACACTAGGAGTAAGACTGAGAAAAGAATATCAGGGGCTTTTCTTTCTTTCTCATTGAGCTTTGTTTCTCTGGGGTTATCTTTGATTTTATTTGCTTTTCAAGCTGAGACACAACTCTGAAAAGCCCACTCCTATCTTTGTGTTCCGTGCAAAGATAAAAGCTTAAAAACTGATGGCTTCATGCCTCCATCACAACTGGAGGAAAATTGGCTACGAGGCTCTGACAAATGGCCAGTTTTCCATCTTCAGGAACTAAGGTCCCATCCTTGACCACACTCAGCCTGCACAGTCCTGGTTAATGAACCACTAATTGCCATTTGCAGGAGCAGTGGTCCCAAAAGTGGGGACTTACTGCACTCACTGCCTGCTCCACTCCGGGCATCCCAGATCCCTGGCTCCCAACACCCATGAGCTGCCGGTAGTGACCCGTTAGTGGAAGGATCCCTAGAGGGGTTCACCTACTGGGTAAAGCCCCCGAGCTGCAGAGGAGCTGAGAGCTGCCTTTCAGGACAGATCTGGATGTGCCCTGAGAGGTGTAGCCATGGTTGTGTGTCCCGATCCAGAGCAGTGCTCAGCTCACCCCCCAGGCCATCTGTGGCTCGCAGAGGTGTATCAGTGTCCGCGGGCTCTGGAGTCATTCAGCTAAACTCCAGGTCTCTTTCTCTCTCTTTTTCTCCCTCTGGAGATTCACAGCTCTGTTTTTAGACACGTCCTACAATTTCAACCTTAAGTACATTTGTTTGCAAGTGCAAAAGCTTATGTTAAGCTTGTAAAACAAACCATTGTGGACGAGGATGATTTTTTTTTTCCTAGGGCAAATGAGACTGTTTAACCAGATTTAGAAGATGAATTTAAAACCTTTTCAGAGCCATTCTGCAAACTCCTTTGAAAATGTGGGATAAAGTGATTGATCACGGTATTTGTCATTTTCCTTTGAATCTGATACACCACATAAGCACCCCGGGCCAGCGAGTGTGGAGATACATTTTTTTTTTTTTTTGCCTCTAAGAAATACAATGGGAAGAGCAGAGAGCGTGATTTCATTATTTCCATGGAGCCTGTTTTATTTCAGGGCATATTGCAAGGGTGGCATTATTTTTATCTAAGTCAAAAAATAATCTCTCGTATACTTTTGACTAATCTAGAAACTATCAATAACCAGCAAAGCCAGATTAGTGTTTTAGAGTGGAAAAGTGGCCCCTCTGTGACAGGCAGCAGCCAAACACCAGGAATCCCAAATAGGAAGCAACCCAATTTTATATCAGAAATTATTTTTATGCTCTTTTGTATCTTTGCATTTTTATGGTCAGATTTTAATACGGGATACGTAGCAAATATTATTTTGTTTCTTTAACAGAATGGGTATTTAACGAAGTGAATGAGATGGGTTCTCAGCAGTTAACTGGAATGTTTTACTCTTTCTGAATGGCTGGAGAGATGCAGAGAGAGAGAGAGAGAGAAAGAGAGAGAGAGAGATTCCAAAATGTTGTCAACATGATGAAAATTTCACTTATTCCTTTGCCTTTTTAATTGCTTAGGGGAAAAAAAAAGTAACAAACACATTAGTTAAGCCTGTTCATTTACTGTTTTGTGCCTCAGAGAGTGAGAATGAGACATCCATAATTTTTATGAGAAGATGCTTCCTAAATATTCAGCACTAGGAAAAAAGAAACACCACCGCCACACCATTATTTGCATCATAAGTCAAGACTCGCTTGATCTGACAAGGCCACTTGTTGGACTCGCAGCTTCTTTCTTAAGTGGGAAGCCCACCCGAGCCAGCACTGCCCGAGCAGAGCAGCTGCAGGCGCGTGTTCCAGAGGGAAGAGGGGCTTGGCTCTCAGGCAATGGCATCCGGGAAAGCTCTTCCCCTCCATAAATTGCCAGAGGTGCTGCAGGAGATGGAGCATTGGCACAAAGAAGAACCAGCACTGGGTCCCACTTTCCCACCTCCTGTGGCTTTCCCAGTAGGGAGCAGGGCTGGGCTGCCGCGCGCGGCGGGAGCGGCACGGATACAGATTGGGTGATTTGACTGAGCATCTGATAACAGACTTTCATTTCAATGCCAGACAGGAGGAACCCACTTACCATTCCATGTGCAGAAACAAGAGAGTTGTAACAAACTTAAATGTTTACGGTATTTCTCTGGCTGAATCTATACATATATATATATATATAAAATAAAGATACCTTCTTCCCTAGGTAAATGACATGCATTACCCCTTGACCTAGACACTAGAACAGAGGATCTAAATTCAAGACTTTCGCCTCCCCACCCTCTCCAAAAAGTCAAACAAGAACCAACCTAGGTGCATCTAACAGTTGTAAATAGAAAATAATACATAGAGAAATATATTTGAAATTTGTTTCAGTTTCTGGATGGGCACCAGCCATCCATTGCAATGTTATTGATAGTACACTGTGGTGCTTTGGGTTTCTGGTTTTGTTCTCTTTATGCTCTGTCATCTTTTCATTGCAGCTACATTTCAGGGAACATGTATATTTAGTAGCTATTGTAAGTTCTGCATGGCATCACCAAGCTTATTTTTCCTTAAGAAGAAAAGAAGAGTCTGTAGGAGTTTAAAGGCACTATGACGACAGGGACTTGTAGCAGAGAATTAAAAAAAAAAAAAAAAAAAAGGTTTTTAAAATTCTAGTTTGAAGCCAAATACTGATATTTTAGTGCTTTTGGGGTTTTAAAAGTAAGAGAAAAAAAAAAGAAAAAAAAAAAGAAAAAAAAAAAGAAAAAAAAAGGATTTTGGTAACCCAGCTGATCCGCACTTGCCAGTTTTATTATTTTGTTTATATTGGACTGTTTGACCCTGTCAAACAAGTGTCAAAGTTGTGTGTATAAAACAAAAAAAGTGTTTAAAAAAAGTGTTGTAAAGACACTGAGCCTTATGAAAATATTTATGGAATTAAATAAAAAGAAGTGAAAAGGCATCTGAAGGCATTTTAACTCATTTTCCTCAGAGCGGTCTCACCTTCCCCCAAGGCTGAGCACGAGTCGCTGGGGTGGGGCCCCAGCCTGGCAGCAAAGTGGACACTGAGACAGTCATATGCCACCAAAAAGTAGGAATGTTCTGGAAATATCCAACCTCCCCTTGCTCTGTGTCCTCCCTGTGAACTGAGTGAAGTGATTAATGAGTAGCTGGAGGTTGAGCACTGCCAGCATCCCGCCCTGCCAGCACTGGCAGGGGCTGCTCCGAGTGGAGCTGGGATCGAGTCTGCAAGACATGGGTTTAAAATGCTTTTTGTTCCTGCACTTTGCTCAGCTCCAGCCGAGATATGAAGACAGCCGAGCTCTCCGGACAGATATCAGCAAAATATGCTGTGAGCAACCCAAGAACCATTTTGGAGCGTGTGGAAGTAGAACAGGGGGTGGGTTTTCCAAGGGAAGGAGCCTGGCCCTGCACTGCCCTGCTGCAGAGGGCTGGACACAGGCAATGAGCAGGTTCCTGCCCTGGGAGAAGGAACTTTATCCCTGAAAGGCCAAGTGCTCTCTCCAGACACTCAGTGGCATTTTGCAGGTAAGACAGTTGAGTCATGTACGTCTAGATAGCCTAAAAATACAATTCTAACCAAACAAAGCAGGGTTATCACAGCATGGCCCAGTTGTGGTAGCAAGTGGTGTCTGTTGTCACGGGGAGAAGCACTCAGGCACAAGGACCTCGGTGCTGTAAAGAACTGCAGCCCAGTTGCTGCCTTTGCAGTCAATTTGCACTGATTTTCTGCTCTTTCCTCTGCCCTGTCGGGGTGAGGGATGGCCAAGGTGCTGGCACACAGACCAACCACATCTCAGCCCACACAGATGAGGAAACCAGTCAGACAAGGTTCCAAAAATGCAAGAAGCAAGGAGCTCTGCTCTGAGAGAAAGAGAGGCAAGGCTGCGGGGCCAGCGTTTGAGCAGGTTCAGGAGCAGGCTCACCCAGAACTCAAACATCACAGCTTCACATCTGCCTCCTGCTTCCAGCCAAGCTTTTTTTCTCTTGCTTCCATTATTGCTTGCAATGAAGAGGCCGTTGGTGCTGTGCTGGGGTTCAGCTCTCCAGATGATCCTGTTTCGTTCGTAGCTGGAGCTCTCGGGAGCAGAGGCACAGCGCTGTTCCCAGGGAGTTCTGCAGGGGAGAGCAGACCCAAAGTGCAGTTACAGATCAAACCTCCTCTCGGAGAACTCCTCTCGTACCCTCGCCACTGCCTTTGCCGGCCAAAAGAGTTGTTTGCCAGGATTTTGCGGTCCGAGTTGGCAGGTGGGAGCTGTGGGGAAGGAGGGGGTGCTCAGGGAGGGCATGAGCCGGATGCGGTGCTCAAGGTCTGTAATGTACCCAAAAAATCCCTGACAAAGGGGGAGTGGGGAGGAAACCCGGTCACCCAGCCTGTGCACTGGGAGCTTTAAACAAAGGACCTCCATGCCCTGTAGCCTGCTCCCACCCTGGCTTGCTTTCCTGGCACTGAGAAGAGCACTCCATGACTGGGAATGCTGCTGCAGCCTGTAGCTGGTAGTCGACTTCTGAATTTTATTTGGTGACAGGATTTGTTTGTTTTTAGCTTTCTCCACCCACCCAGCATCCAGCCAGCTACTGTGAACTCTGCTTGCATGAAACAAAAACAAAAACCAAAGAAACCCGTTTGAAATCCCTTTCCCTTGCTGGGGGCTGGGGGGGTTGGGCCGTGTTCCTAGGACACCCCGTGGTCTGTTGTGCTGCCCCACCCGAAGGCACAGGGACATTGTGTAGAGCTGTCAGCCTCCATGGACTCTGCTTGGGAATGGAATGGAATGGGTGAAGCTCTTAGGCTGATATGTTTGTGACATGCCAGGAATGTTGTATGAATGACTTTGCACGTCAAAGCCATCTCTGGTTTATCTGTGTGTGTATATCCATGGAATTACAGAAGAGCTTTTGCTTTTTAAGGAATCAGACTTCCAATCGGAATGATGGTGCAGGGATTGCACATCTCAATCCACCCCAAACAATACATTGTCTTGTTATTCTGTAGCTAAGAAGCAGCACTGGGTTCTGCACTAAATCCACTGGCAGGTCTGCATCCTCCGAGGCATGTAATGCTCTATCTGTGCAGGTTCATAAAGAACAACTGGAATTGCATGTTGCTGGGGATGCAGCAGGAATAACTGGCACTTTGAGAGTGTTTGTAAGACCTGTCCACTGAGGGTTTCTCAGCTAAGGAAGGACAGGAGCTGTTAAACTGCAAATGTAATCCCAAACTGCAGGAACAAATTGTAAAACTGTCTACATCTCTTATCTTTGCTATGGAAAAGAGATACAAGGTATTTCTTAAATGCTTGTAATGTTCACATCCTTTTTTCTTCCAGCTCTGTCAAGGCAAAATGCCTCCTGGTGAAGACTTGCACCTACTCATTTCAGAGCCACAGTAGTTTGTCACCTCTGTCAGGTCAGACAGGGTCTCTGTGCTCAGCCTTTTCCACAGGTTGGGCCGTGCAGCAGCGATGGCTCCAAAGTGTTTCCCTGTTCCAGAAGGGCCCATCTCCAGACCTCCCTCCAGCACCTCTCTCCACTCCCAGCCAAAGACAGTGGTGGCCAGTGCATTGTCTGGGGGACATGGAGCACTTTCCTCTTCTTTCCGTTCTGGTCACTGCAGCAACAAAACCTCTGCAAGATGGGAACAGTGTGAGGGCTTATTTTTTGTTTAGCAGAGTGTGTTAAAAAGTTAAACCCTTGCAGAAACACTTGTCTCATGAAGAAAACGTCAGTGCTTGAAGCAGTGCTCGGGTCTGGGGCATCTTGTAGAGTGCGTTTTACCTCTGGCTGCCTCTGCAGTCCCGGGGAGCTGGCCATCCCCTTTTGGGTGGAGATGGGGCTGGGCACACACAGATCTGGACACATACACTGCCTGTGAGAGCAGAGAGCCACAAAATACACAGCTAGAGCCTGCCTGACTCTTGCACCCCTTGTACATCTGCATTGGAGCAGGGACACATTTTTGCCAGGATCTGGGTTTTTCACAATAAATCATGGCACTAAATTGGCTTATAAATAACATCTGAGAATTCAGGCTCCAAGAGAGTCGGTGCTGTCTTCCTGGCTGGCCCTGGAAGTGAGCGAAGTTGGCTTCAGAAGAGAAGTTTCATTCTTTTTTTCATCTGGAGAAGCAATAAGAAGATCTATTGGTAAATTTGCTTCTCTTCTTAGCTCACCTTTACAAAGGCTGTGAAGCTTTTATTCATGAAGGAGGGTGTGTCTGTGCATTCAAGCCTTTGCAGGTTCGTAGGAAAACAGAGAGCAGCTGCCCCTTGCACACAGCACAGTCTGCCCTGGGTGGAAATGGTTTAGCTCAGAGACTGAAGAGGAAGCATCTCCTCCTCCTAAAGACAGTGATTTTAAAGGCAGGTTTTATACAGGCTGGGCTGATGCTCTGTCACATTCAGAACACTGCAGACGTGTGAAGAGAGCAGCAGGTCTGAACAAATAAGTCATTTACAGAAGTGAAGTCACTGCTGTTATCTCAGAAACTCCTTTGTCACTGGCTGTTTCTTCATCCCAGCAAGAGCTGCCCTCTCCAGATGAATGGTCTGAGCAGAGCTCTGTTGAGCTGGATTGCCCAGGTCATTTTAATATTCATTTTATTCTTGCTGACCTGGATATTTGATGGCTTTTCCATCATCAGTCACTCCTGTGCAGCCCAGACCACAGGGAGTGTTGAGTCAAAGGTATGTTAGCATGTATGAAAGTGGAATTGTTTTCCACCTATTTGAGCCATCTCACTGGTTCTTTGTTGCCTGTTTGGAAGCTGGATAAATGCAAAGAAGTGCCATTTCCTGTATTTTAATTCCTCAGCAGCCAGACTAGTGCTTTGACTGAGCCAAAAAAAGAGCAGCCTTTCAGCACACTCCCATAGCTCCCCCTCCAAAGCTCAGGTGACATGGAAGTGTGTGGTTTTGACCGTCTCGCGGACCCAAAACCAGCAAAGGATGAAATGGGCAAATTGCACTAATGGTGCCATTGTAAAAAACTGTCACTTGCTGCCTTATCCAACCCAAACCACATCATTCGTATTCTGTGATTTATTTTTTTGCTTTGGCTGGAGCCAAGGCTCTGTTGTGTTGGTGTCCATGATGTCCATGTCCTCCAGCTGTGGAGGGCCCTCACATTCCCAAGGATCACCCAGGTAACACAAAAGCCTGGGAGAGCCACCAAGAGCCCTCCCTGCTCCACCAGAGACACTGGTACCGTTACACAGGTGGGGCTGTGTGGACACCCAAGGTGGGTCAGGAACTGGGAGGGTTTTTCTCTCATCATGTCAAGGGGAGCTGTAACCATGTTGTCACCTGCCATAACAAACCCTTATCCCACAGGCTGGTTTTTCAGGGAATCTGTGACCAACGCACTGATTTCCTCAAAGTTTCACTCCCCCACAGATCCAGGGCAGCAAGAGAGGAGTCCCTGGCCAGCCCTGCTGCTGCGGTGGTTTCATGCTATACAAAGGAAATCCCGAATCTTTGGACCACGAAAAGAAAATAGCAGCAAATACAATAAATACCCGTAGCTGTGGTGGGAGCCCAGACGGGTGTCGTGGTCTCTGGTTCTGCTCCCAGGATGGTTTGTGCCCCTTCCCTGAGGACTCGGAGTATGCAGGTTCCACACAAAGCCACCAAATCACCACCTGAAGGCACCTGCTGCTTGCTGTGGACAGTGAAGTGACTGCACAGGGGCTGTGACACCAAGGTA